TTTATCTCTGAGTTTATTCAGTTTATTTCTATAGCGCCAATTCACAACACATAATCTCAAAGCACTTTACAGTTCACCAGATCATACAGTCAAATTGATTCAAAGTTTTCCATCTAAAGAAAACCAGTTGATTGCATCGACTCATTGACTCGAATGCAATCCCTTACATTAAGCATGCTTGTAGCGACAGCGGAAAGGAAAAACCCCCTTTTAACAGGAAGAAACCTGACTGGGGTTCAAGGAAGCAGCCCTTACTTGTCATCCAGAGTGGCCTGTAAGTAGAGCTCTGCTGCTCTGAAAACATCCAATGCACAATTCAAAGCAGGCTCATGTATACGTACTCATATTTGTGTCTGAAAAGTGCTAAGAGAGTCCTTTTCCATCAAACAGCAAGTTTTAATCCAGCCCTCTGTTTCAATAGCTGTAAAAGGAACTTTTCTAATACCATTTGTCTTGTTCATGAAAGGTTTAATCAGATAAAGCAATCCTCCTGAAAAAAATTTGCTAAAATTATAGGTTTATTTTGTGTTTTAAGATGACATAAAACCCACAAACAGACATCGAGAAATCTCATCCATTCATAGCCAAACATCAATTCCCCTAAAGATTTGTGCTAGTTTATAATTTTCACTTAGTTACCTTTACCCTGCCATTCAAGAATGTAGGATCTGTTAAATCATGTTCAGCCTATTTATTAAGCTGAATGCACAAGTCAAGGCCAGCTATAAATAATCTCTTTTCTCATCTCTAACTCAATGGGTCAAGACCCTAACATTTTCCCTTTGAGGTAAAATCAATCCAATGGTGGCATTAATTACCTGCTATAGCAATCTGTTCCTCAAAGTCTAGGGAATAATCCATCATGGTTGGATAAGGGGTTAAGCACTCCCTCACTGACCTCCCCAATCCAAAGAAACAGGAGCTTCTATTCGTGACAAATGACTGTTGGCCAAACTAAACCAGAACACAGGGCATTTAACAACCCATGGAAATCAATTACAACTGATCGGCTGATACCAGACAGGTCTGAATCTAATTAATCACTATTAAGGATTTAAAAAAAAAAATGTTTATATCTTTAATATATACTGACTTGCTATACTTGCTATACTCTTATAGTAGTTTCAGTTTCCCTTTAGCTTTAGAGGTACTGATCCTCATTTTCAATAAAACTCATGGCATTGCTATACATTTGCAGATTTTAGGAGTTTTAAGATATTATTTAATTGATAACTCCTCCATTTGACCAACCTGCAGTGGCAGATGGTTTGTTTTGGGGGACCATCTGGGAACATGACCATGGAAAATGTGAGGAAAAGAAAAAAGGGACTTTAAAAAATACTTGGCAGGTGATTGAACAAACCATCTGTCTATCACTTTCTCACCAACATACGCGTTTGACCAACCAGATCAACTATCACAACCAAGTCTTTTAAGAATTTTGTGGAAACCAGCTGGGAAGCAATAAGACATTTAATCCAGTGCACCTAGAGAGCTGATATTACTGAACACAGCCTAAATTTTAGCGAGGCTCTAATAGTTTGTTCAGGAAAGAGACAAAATCAGTCAAATCCAACTTTTCATCAATATTTGTCCGATAAAAGGTAATAATGCCCTACCTGCCAAAAAAAGGTCAATTGTGTAATAAAAAGTTCAAATTGAAAAGAAAATAACATTTAGACAATAATGTAATAAATCATTATCAGGCTATTAGGGTAGTATCATGACAGCCTTTAAAAATGTAATAACTAGGAATAATGATACTGGTATCAGGCCTGATACCACTGGCTTGTAATTATTTTTATATCCAGAAAATAAATTTGTTCCATGCTAATATCCTTCACCTTATGAATACATAGATGCTTTTTTAACCAAAACCTGGCTTTCTAAAACTGACAGTTGGAAAATTAAAGAAACTCTAAAGCAAGTCTTACAAAGGGCAGATCAAGTAATTCACTCTTCAAATCATCCACTCTATGTTGAATTTGAGCTACCGCCATCTGGCAGGGTTTCAGGCAACCAAAACCATGAATTAACAGATGGAAAAACTTAACTCAGACCATCCTAAAGGTATATTTTAAAGATAACTGGGCTTCTTTTGTTGTTAAGCCTGTCTTAACTGTTAGGGTTCTGTTTGTGGGGAATGTTTTTGTGTTTTCTTTTTAGTTTCTTCTCCTACCCACTAGATGGTGCCCTTTCCCCTGTTTGGCCTGGAGGGCCTCTTCCGGTCCCCTCCCCCCACACCTGCGGCTCGTTGGGTCATCACCAGAGGAGTATTTGAGCAGCGGACTGTCACCAGCTCGAGTGTTTGCAGGTATTGGGTACTCTAGCCTCTCTAAGTTTAGCTGAGTCTAACCTTTAGTCTTTGCCTCTGTGAGTCTTAGGTTTTTTACCTCTTTGTCTCTTTGGTTCTCCGACAGGATAACCCCCCAATCCGCTGGATAAGCCTGGTCCTTCTCTCCTTGGAAGGAATTATTCGTCTCACATTGAGCAAGGGGAAACCTTGACCAGATCCGTTCAAGTCCTCCTCAAGAAAGTCTGACAGTCTACTCCGCTGCTCCTCTGGACCCACCATTAGTCTGCCTGTCCGCCCTCCAACAAGTAACCATCATCTCTGGACAATTCCCCCACAAACTGGACCCAAGGATCAATCAAGAACCATACTATGTGAGTCAAAACTGTTCCATTCATCTCCTTCGATCAATTTTCCTATGGACCCTGAACTCATCACTGTGATCTCCCCCCTAGAGTTTCTGGTTCCAGTTCAGCTGACCGCAGGATTCCCCCCATCTGAGAATAACCTGTTTTTTTCTATCTCTCTCTGAGTTTTGTAAACCTCACCAATAAACTGTTAACTTTTTCTGTGCCTCTGAGTGGTTTTCTGCATGTGGGTTAGATCTTTGAGACCCATCATGACATTAACTGATACTTCTATACTGTATGTATGTAACTGATTATATTACAAAAAAGTAAAAAAAATAAAAAAAAACAATCCACTGGACTTTGTTTCCAAGTTTGAAGATGTTTCGCTTCCCATCCAGGAAGCTTTTCAAATTCAAAATGTAAGAAATAGCATTGAGTTCGAAGGCTTTATACAGTAGCCCAATAAAGCCTTGTTTTTGTTTAGAAAACCGGGTCCACACCTTTGAAATGGGGGTCGTTTGGCTTCTTTTGTTTGCCTGCAATGCTACAGGCAGGTATTGGGCATTGCAGGTTATCAAGAGAAGCCAAACTACCCCCATTCCAAAAGGGTGGATTCCTGAAAGTATTCCTGACATTGTGAATAGAAAAATCTTCCTTGATGTGAGGCGAAACGTCTTTAAACTTGGAAACAAAATCCAGTGGATTGTTTTTTAACTTTTTTGGAATGACTATGACCTGGATGATTGAGAATCTTCACCAGCATTGATTGTATCGTGATTGGTTTAGTGTGTGACTGATCCTATGTATAAGGGTATTGTCTTGTTCGTTTTTCTCCTTCCAAACTGTAAGGAAAATTTCCCAAAATGTACACAATAAAAAATATACTGATACAGATACTGAAAAAGTGCTGAGACACTTAAGGACCCGATAGTAATTAAATTTTCCCTCCAACAGCCAGTTTTAATGTAGCCCTTTAAATGGTTGTAATATACCATAAAAAGGCAAGCCACAAGAAGCAAAAGTGGGGGTAGCCAGAAGAAGTAGCCCCCACTTATCTATAGAGGCATCTCCGGGTTAGTATGGTACCTAGAGTGCTCTGTAAGCAGAGCTCTGCTGCTCTGAAACCTTCCAAAGCAAAAGTCAAAGCCGATTTGTTGCTGATGAAGATGAAAAAGGTATGCTCTAAAAAGCTGTAAAAAAGGAGTACAACAAAAAACGCATCTCAAGTGTAACAGACCTGTTGAAAGTCAACAATTCTTTGAATATAGGCGAATGTTAACTAAGCTTGCATTAAGTATTCTTTTTCTCTGTAATGGCAAGAACAAAGATTTCAGTAAAATATATCTGATATCAGTGCATTTTTGTAATAACCTAGTTACAACTTAGCAATAACTTTTTTAAAAATACATAAAAAGGGAAATTCAGTTTTTGAGAATACATATTTTTTTAGCAGTTTCCATAGTAACAGGCATATTAAATATACAAGTTACATATATTTTCTGAATTAGTGCTGCAAAGTTCAATACGTTTATCTTTAGTACAAAGGCACATTCCAGAACACAGAATAAAGAACCAGGTCTATATGACCTAGATGTTTTGAAAGGAATTGAGAAAAAATTAAAAAGAAAAAATAACTAAACAGTATGAACAGCAGTTTTAAAAAGTAAAAATAATCCATGAATCTATATTTAAACCTAATCAGAAACTGTGGCAGTTGAATAATCACTACTAAAACTACAGCAATAGGTGACTAAAAATGATTTAAATCAAAATTTGCCTTGGATGTGTATAATGATAGGCGTAGCTGTAAATGGTCCATCATACCTCTGAAAGAACTGTGATAAAAGCCGATAGAGGATTCCTTTGTATCAAGTAGATTTCTACAGACACGTGGTGTCATTACAGCAAAACAACCTCATGGTTTTTTATTCAAAAGTTCAGAAAAGGTCTGACAGAAGTAGCATACAATAGTTAACAAACATAGCACACTTACAGTCATTCTTTGCAGAGGTATTAGTTGAGGTCTGAACTTTGAGAGATTAATGAGATGGAGGACAGAGTTTAAGTTGACAAGGCGTGTCTGTTGCTTAACATTGCTGACAACAGGGAAAAGGGTCGGCACAATAATTACGATGAGGAGGAAGAGTGGCAAAGATTAAAGCAAGTGTTTAGGCGGTTATCTAATATAACATGCCAGCTGCATTAAACGAAGTTTCGATATTTAAAGGTAATCAGAGATTAAAAGTTTCCTGTCTGGGACATTTGAGCCTGTTTTGTCGCACTGGACTTAACAACATCGTTGGAATAAAAACCAACATAAAGCCTTACAATCTATTTGCAGGAAAGCGAAGGCCTACCTTTGCGATTTGGACACACCAGTTGAGCAGCAGCTGCGATCCGATGTTGTCTTTGTGTTCGTGCACGTAGTCCAGGAGGCAGCCGTGGGGCATGAGCTGGGTCACCAGCTGGATGGTGGGACTCAGGCAGACACCAAGGAGGCGCACCAGGTGGGGGTGCTCCATGCTGGCCATGATCAGGGCCTCCTAGGTGAGATGGGACAAGGAGACACAGAGGGACTAAATGGGATGGCAGCGGACCCTTCATTTGCTTTTGTTAGATGTGCATCATTTCTTCTTGTTATGCCTTTTTAAAATTTTTTTTTATATATATTATAATTAAATTTAATTTCGAAAAATATAATAAAGTATAATGCTTGAAAATATAGCTATAAAATTATATAAAACAATATTTAAATTATTTATTTATTTTTCCTTAATATCCAACTTTTTAATGTGTTAATTGTTTATTTGCACTAATGTTGAGTTATTTTTATTTTACTAATTGATGTACAATGACAAAAACAGGAGTAATGATTCTTTCATCATAAATTAACTCTAAAACTGTCCTTATAAATGAGTAATTATAAATACTACTAATAAATACATGTAAAAAGCCATTAACACTCTCCACTAAATTGCTGACATGCAATAAGAAATAAACACATTATTTGGTTGTTTCTTTTAAAACATTGTATGGTTACACTTTTTCATGCACTTATTTTTTTTTGTCTTCTAATTGATTTTCTTCACTTAGGGATACAGAAAACTTTCAATTTCTACTGGTAATAACACTAATTACATGAACTTGCATTTTCTAGAGTACTCCAGTATTACCACAAAATTTCTTTTTCACTGATTGCCCTTTAGGTGTCAATAGTTTATACAGTAGATTCATCTTTCCCCCTTTGATAGGAAGTTTCATTGACCAAGAAGCTTTTGTGTTTATTTGTGTCTCTTTTTTAGGTGGAGCTGTTTGTTATGGTCACTGACCTCTAGGAGCTCTCTTCATGAGAGAGCTCTCTCTTTGTGTTTCAGGTCTACCTGGCTGGTACAGGTGCAATGTGTTGAAGCTCGTCAGCCACCCCATAAAGAGCTTCAAACCTGAGATGTCAGGTCCCTTTTTCTCTTATTCCCTGGGCCTTGATCTGTTGTGATCTTGTCTGTGAGCTGAGTGTTACTTTGTGTTTGAATAATTGGCTAACTAAAGCATTTTTCTGTTCACAGTGGAAGCTGGTAGGGGTTCTCTGCCATTTTTGTGTCGTGGTTAGCCAGGGAGTTCAGGTATTGTACTTTCTTTTCACTTTGAAGACTTTAAGACTGTGTTTGCCTGTCTAGCTCAAGCCTCTCTCACCTTGAATCTGGCTAAATGTGAGTTTGCCAAAGCGGGGGTGACCTATCTGGTGAAAGGAAATAGGCCATGGCCAGGTATGTCCCGTGAATGCAAAGGTTGACGCTATCCTAAGCTACCCTGTGCCCACCACAAGACGTGAGCTTCGGCGGTTCTTGGGTTTGGTTGGTTATAAAGATGTTTCTGCAGGAACTTCTCAATGGTGGTGGCTCCTCTGACAAAGTTGTGTAGTCCGAAGGAACAATTCATGTAGACTGTTGAATGTCGGCATGCATTTGACTGTGCGAGGTCCTTTCTATGCAGCGCTCCTGTATTGGCGGCTCTGGATTTTAGCGAAGTGGACGCCAGCACCACTGGGGCTAGAGCAGTATTGCTCCAAGATGGAACCGATGACATCAGTCACCCAGTTTCCTACTACTCAGCTAAGTTCAAACCTCATCAATTAAACTACTCTAAAATTGAGAAGGAAACATTGACCATGCTGCTGGCTTTGCAGCATTTTGAAGTTTGTGGGTTCAACAAGTCCTGTTATAGTCTATAGTAGTATTGCGCCGATGCCATTTTTTGGCCTCGATACCGATACCCGATACCTGTCTGTGCAGTATCGGCCGATACCGATACCATAATAATGTAAAATAATTGCCATCATGGCTTTGTCAAGCTGCTGCCTTGCTTTGTGAAGCAGGAAAAAATCTAATACAAAGTGAATCCAGTAGAACGTTTTATTGTCTACCAGGAGTGGGTGACAATAGTTGAATAAACGTATGGCTCTCAAAATGGTATTGGTGCCCTATTTGTTGGTACTCGCCGATACCGATACCACCATTTTAGGGCAGTATCGGGGCCCCGTCCGATACTGGTATTGGTGCAACACTAGTCTATAGAGACCATAATCCAGTAGTCTTCCTGAACCGTATGTATAACCACAGCCGGTGGTTAATGCGGTCAGCCTTACTGGCCCAAGAATATAATCTGGACATAAGAGGGGCTGATAACGTGATAGCTGATGTACTTTCCAGGATATAATGCTGCGTACCTCCCTATAGTACGTATGATGCTGAAATATTATTTCATGAAGGATTTTATGGGGAAGGGTGTTACTGTCACTGACCTGTAACACTGTTAAAATACAAGTTTAAACAATCATTGCTTTAAGCTGTCTAAGAATTTTGTTTCTTTTTACTGAAACTTTTAGACATTGACACACAAAAAAACGAAATATCGCAAATAATTGTGTGTACTGTGTTTGATAAACATGCCCCCTACCCAATATATATGTTTTAATTGGGGTTTTCTACTGTCAATAAAGAAAACACGTGTGACAATACGATAAATCCAGATACATTAACAAATATTTTTATAACAATATACATCTGGAAAGTCTCGCCATCTTGTTGTTGCCCTGCTGCTGGTGCAGAGCAGCTTAAAAAAGGCTATACACACATCTACTTTAATAGCCTTGAATCTCACCAATGATGCAAATTTGGTGAGGGGGGAAATCACGATAAAAAAAAACACACTTTTTGAGATTAAATGTTTTTTTTTTTCAGTTTTCCTATAAACATCTAACCTCAATTATTATTATTATTTTTTCATAAATCAGATGTTTAATTTAAGTCTGGTTCAATGTATTGGCTATAATTATCAAAAACAATTTAGAGTTGGAGTGAGATCCCTAACTCCAAACGTCTGGGATCATCAATACCTCTGCATGCAGAACATATGTCCAGAAAACTCAACAGAGGGGGAAATCTTGAAAGACTCTGTCTTCAAAGTCGTACAAGCACAACCGCTTTCATCTAAATTTTAGCAAAGGAAGATGTTGCACAGACACATTTAGAACACCAGAGATAGAGATGTCCAGCATGTTGCTTGCGATCAAAAACTCCTTTCTGTCTTTTCTCTATCACTCTTGTTTCATTTTCTTGTGCACGTGTATTCTCCTAATCACACTCCCCCCCCCTCCTGCTTCCCCTCTCCGCAGCAGATGAATGTAGAGGTTTGAACAGTTGGGGCTCAGTGTTGGGTAATTGTCAAAGCAGAGCTGAAAAGCAGAAGGACGCGAGGTGGTGATGAAGTGTTATGATTGCAAAGACGGGTACTTGTGGCAGAAGCTGCGATTGCAGTTGTTGGGGGAAGGCACTTGGTTTAGCTGCTCTCATCTCCTTGTGCCTCTCTCTGACTCTCTTGCTCAGATTCAAGCATGGAGGCACAGTCCCTAGCCAACTCTTTGCAACACTCAAGGACACACGCTGGCTTTCTTTGCATATGGCAAATGGTCAAGAAGGTGGATATCCAGGCTTGGCCCTCAGGGCAGCTGACAAATGGATGAGGTCCTCTTTAAAATTTATATACAGAAAATTGATCTTAGAGGGAGAGTGGACTAAATTAGTTCAAACCATGAGCAGGGAGACACGTGCTGTCATGATGTTTTTCAGCAACATTAGGAGCTTCCTGTTCAAGAAGGGGTTGCAACATCTTCACAACATAAATCCAGTTGCTACCTTATGCAGACGAGTGCACGCTTTACTTAGAAAACTGCACTCTTTACGCAGACGACTCAGCGCTTTACGCAGAGGACTTCATGCTATTCGCAAAAAACTCTGTGCTTTACAGACGATTAAGCTTTTAGCAGACGAGTGCACGCTTTACTTAGAAAACTGCACTCTTTACGCAGACGACTCAGCGCTTTACGCAGAGGACTTCATGCTATTCGCAAAAAACTGTGCTTTACACAGACGACTACGTTTTTAGCAGACGAGTGCACACTTTACTTAGAAAACTGCACTCTTTACGCAGACGACTCAGGGCTTTACGCAGAGGACTTCATGCTATTCGCAGAAAACTCTGTGCTTTACACAGACGAAAACTGCACTCTTTACGCAGATGACTCTATGCTTTATGCAGAAAACTGCACTCTTTACGCAGATGATTCTATGCTTTATGCAGAAAACTGAACGCTTTACACAAACGACTGCACCCTTTACGCAGATGACAGCAAACTTTTCACAGAAGACTCCACACTTTACGCAGACCTCTGCATGCTTTATGCAGACTTCAAACTTTCAGCCAGACATTAGATCAGGAGAGGAAGACAAAAGTAAGGCTTTAAGTCTTTTTCTTCTGTCCCAAGAGTCATAAACTATGTCCGGTTAAATCTTTTTCTACTCTGTGGGCAAACGTTGAGGACTCCTGAAAGTGTGTGCGACATTTTGTGACTATGTGTGTTTTGCTTTCTCTCTCATCTCCCTGAGCGCTGACCTCCATTACTGCCAGCTGACCCGACTTTCCCCATTCCGCTCCCTGGCTCACTTCCTCCCCAACACACACACACACATTTAGGACATATATGCTGAATGATAGACTAGCAGAAATTTGCAAAACTCCTGCATGTTTCTGGAAGTCCCTATCTCCATAGGTGTGATTTAAATTACTGTATTTCAGTTATTAAATAAACACTTCTGATTTATATTCACTAACACAAGCGAACCACACTACATATTTTACATGCAAAGCCCTTGGAGGCTGTACATCGTGATGGATCTACTCTTTGCATATGAGTGTGAGCGTGTCCGTGCGCGCGTTTTTGTGGATTTTCTGAGTGTGCTTTGGAGCCGGCACTCCAGTGGCCAGTTTCTCTGTGGCGAAGCGTGAGCCTGCCTTTAGATTGCTGTTTAACAAGCCAACAGACAGAGCATATTGGCTCTGGATGGACAGATACCCTCCCCACCCCCGGGGAGAATGAGAGAAAGGAAGCAAGCAAAATGCAGTGATAAGAAAAAATAGGTAGAAGAAAAAAGGTCAAATAGGAAGGATAACAGGGAATATACATACAGGAGCATCTCTATAAAAAGTT